GCCTCGGGCTGTGCCCAGAAGCGTCCGTCTTTTCTTCGCGGTCTGTGCTGCAGAGGGCGAGGCGGCGCGGGGGCCGCCTGGCGGAGTGGACGGCCGGGGGAAAACCAGCGCTGGCCTCTGCACAGCTCATCATCTTCCCCCTCCTCTGGGTGTAGGGCCAGGGCCGGAGCCGTCCGCGCCGGGTCCCCCTGACAGAGCCTGCGGTGGCGAGCGCGCGGGCCTGGGTAAGAGCAAGGCTGAGCTGCGAGCTGAGCGCCGGGCCAAGCAGGAGGCTGATCGGGCGTCGAAGCAAGCCCGGAAGGGCGAGCCGGGTCAAGCACCCCCGCCTCCCAAGCCCCGGGTAGGACCCATTGAGGCCCAGCCAGGTAAGGCTCTGTCCTGAAAGAAAAGCTGCTGGTGACTGAACTAGAAAGCTTCATCTTCTGAGCTTTGCCCACTTCTCTCCCCAGCAGTCAAGAGGCTCCCAGAGCATGTGCAGGTGGATGATCCAGCTGCCCAAAAAAAGTTAGCCAAAAAGTTGGAGCGTCAGCAGGTATGACTCCATTCCCAGTAAGGAATGCTGGCTGGAAGAGGTGGAGGTAAATAAGCTATTTGGGTTCACACAGCACAGTAGACTACGATCAGGTTGTGGTTCAGCGTGTTTAGAGACTCAGTGGTTGTATGTTGCGTGAAACAGTTCACTCATGGTAAGGCATAATATGCTGCTATTAGTTTGGGGACCGTGGTTGATGTGAAGTTAGCAACTGTGTTTCTTTAGTTGGTTTTCATGAGTCAGAATGGAGGTGCTGTTGAGATCATTATGCCCAATCGGCTCTTTAGTGCAGAGAACCAAGCTAAAGCAGCCACACAAATCCTATCTAACGTCCTCAAAGAAAAGCCAGCTACAGTCTCTCCCTCTGGTTCAGCCAGCTGAAAGTGATGACTGGGTTGCTTACAGTTTGTTTTTTAAGATTTAACACTAGTTTTAGGATCTGATTGGAAGAAGCAATCCTGAAATAATATGAAGAGTTGCTGGGACTTGGGCAACGTATACATTTAATAACTGGCGATGATGAGGAAGATGACACTACATTGATTGATTGATTTCAAGCATTTATATGATCACCCAGGCAACCAAATGTTTTGCTTCTTAAAGAAATAGTAGCCAGGCTTGATTAGTTAGGAATGAAAGGCGCTCAGGCAGAGGCCGCAACTCATAGTATCTGCCACATTAGGACTGAGTTGGGGCCTTTTTTCCCCAGAGGGATGCCTGAATTCTCTTGTTAGTTTTCCATTAACACACACTGTAAGCCTCCACTTTTCTTGCACATTGTATACACTGTGAGGTCTGGGGAGATATGAAAACATTTACATTTTCTCTGGGTCCCCTATTTAAGAAGTAGCTGAGAAACTATAAAGAGGGAACTGCCTTGTCAGGAACTACTGAAGTCCAGGCTTATGGAGGCAGCTCCTCATTTTTCTCTCATCTTGCTTTTTCCAAGCTTTTCAGCTTCTTTCTGAAATGCCTGATCTTGGGTTTAACCATTCTAAGAAATGGTGTATTCTAAGAAATGGTGTATTGGGCCCAAAGATCTGGGAGGCTGCAAGAAGTTTGCTCCATTTTGTTAAATGGCCTTGATTAAAATTGTCTTAGTTCAAAGAGACATAACACCTGAAAAGCACTACAAAAATTAAAGTACTTATGGAGTGGGGGAACTCTGGGTGAAAGATTCCTCTTAAGAGGCAGCTCAGCACAGGTAATGATGATGTATGGTTGATTGATAGCATTCTGTGCTTAGCCTGGCTTTTTTTTTTTTTCCTCTCCATCTCTGCAGGTCCCTATGAGGCCAGATTATGGTGCCAAAGTCAGTCTCTTCTCCCACTTGCATCAGTACAGTCGCAAAGAGTTGCTGACGCAACAGATGAGGTGGGTGCCTGTGAACCGAGCGGGAAGCACTGAACCCAAAGGGGCTTTATCATGGCACTTTGAAGCTTTCATAAATGATGTTGGGGGGGGGGCATTTTCTAGGCTGTTCCTAGAGAAAAGAAGGAAAAATGGAGGTGATGAAACCAACAGCCATGGTTCTGGTCAGTGCAATTGGCCTGGTTAGATCAAAGCCCTGTTCTTGCTGCCCTGCCTTGGGAACTTTCTGTATAAGGTTTCATCCTAGTACAAGGTTTCCTAGCACAAGGTTTCAAGGCAAAATAGAGCTTGTTTTGGTTAGAGTTTATCTTCTTTTCTCCCTCTGAAAATGCAAGAAAGCACTTTTCAGCTGTTTCAGGATCTATATTCATCATTCTTTATAGTATTATTCACATCACCTCTCTTTTATGGTATTTCAAAAAGATGAACAGGAGTAATATTTTCTTTCTTGAAAGTGACTTGCAGTTGGACTCTTGTATGGTAGATAGTGTGCAAAGAATGCCAGTTTTATTGCGAAGTATTGAGATGATGTGTAATAACCCAGAATCCTTTCACCCGCAGCATCCCGGCCTCCACCATCCACCCTGCAGTGGTGCGTCTTGGCCTCCAGTACTCTCAGGGCATCATCAATGGTTCCAATGCTCGCTGTATTGCACTTCTAAAGGTTTTCAAGCAGGTACTGCTGAGGGAGGGAATTAGAAGTATTGCTTAGATCGGTCTGGATCTCTTCCCTGCGGGGGAACTGGTACTAAAACAGCAAAGAAGGAGTTATAATAAGCATGTGTGGAGCATTTTTCCCTTCCTTGGTCTACCTAATGTAGTGGATATAAGAATAATCTTGAGTCAAGTTCCACTCCTCTTGACTGCATGGTCACATGTCACACCTATGTTGTCTTCTTGACAACAGTATCAAAGTAGTTTATCATAGCCACTTTCCAAGATTTTTTTTTACTACCCTTTTTAGTCTGCAGGCCTAGAATTACATGGTGGCCTCCCATAAAAGTACTGTTCAGTTCTTACTCTGCGTGGCTTTTTCAAGATCAGCCAAGATTGGCTTGGTGTTGTTGGTACTGCTATCTGCTGTACTGGATCACCCATCATAAATCAGAAGAGCTGTGCTAGGTCACATAAGCAGAAAACGGGAGCAGAGATATGTGATCTGGCACAGTTCTTCTAAATCAGACCTAAATTAGGTGCGAACAAGAAGCCTACAAACTGAACACTGTCCCCAGTGTACAGCAGTAGTGGAAGACATGCAAGTGTGTTACTAGAATATTAAGTGTGCCTAATGAATCATGGGATGGGTAGCTCTAGAATGGTTGGTTGGTTGCTTTAAAGGGAGGTACAGTGTGGCAAAATAGTTTTAATTTCTCTATGGTGAGGCATAAGCCAACAGTGACTAACTTACCAGTAGTGTAGTTAGAATTTGTGTGTTCCAAGAATTGTACTATGTCAGTTGACCCTTCCTCTATAGCAGTGTTTCTCAACCTTGGCAACTGGAGGACAGACAGACTTCAACTTCCAGAATTCCCCAGCCAGCATGCTGGCTGGGGAATTCTGG